TATTCAAGACCTGGGTTGTTGAAGGGTAGAACAGGGAGGTGTGGCACAGGATAGACTGATGAAAGCAGAGGCCAGGCAACACAGGACATGATTAAGGACCTTGTAAGCCACTTTAAAGATTGTGCTCTCTGTGAGGATAAAGATCCCTGGAGAATGGGACTTTATTGACAGCTGTCAAGTAGGGTAGGATCTGATCATTTTCACAATTTAGAAGCCTCTCTTGCCACTGTGTGAGAATGGATAGGAGTAGGGTGGATGCCAGAGCCCAGTTAGGAAGCGTTTTTACCAGGTTTACAGAAAAATGATGCTATCTTGGATGGGGGTGGTCATCATGGTGATTGAAAGAACAAGACAGATATGAACGATATTTGCCCAGACAAGTATATGAACACTGTAGAGCACAACTGAGTAGGCCAGGGGGATTTGGAAAGCTTCAAAGAAGTGACACCAGTTTAATCTTGAAGGATGAGAACAAATTCCTATAGTGGTATAGTGTGTCACTTAGATTCAGTTGCTAAAATGTGTAAGTTTTAAATGATTATTAACTTTTTTTTAGTATTCCTTTCAGATTCTCTAAGAAATGTCACATAACTTGTGTTCTTTTTTCTCTAATAGTGTTCCTGCATGTGTTAGAATATAATAAATCTGCATTTCCTGAAAACCACTTTCTAATTTAGCCTTATTGTCAATACAGACTGATCCTCTCTTTTCATCAATACCCACCCAAATCCAAGTATATTAGTGAAAATTTGGGACAACTTTTTTCTACTTTCTATTAAGTCCTCAGTCCATGTTAAATCTCTGTAACAATCTGGCATGTGTCTTTCCACACTTTTAATTTAATTTTATTTTTTTAATGTTTTATTTATTTCTGAGAGAAAGAGGGAGAGAGAGGCAGTGTGAGCAGGGGAGGGTCAAAGACAGAGGGAGACACAGAATCAGAAGCAGGCTCCAGGCTCTGAGCTAGCTGTCAGCACACAGCCTGATGCAGGGCTTGAACCCATGAACCATGAGATCATGCCCAGAGCCCAAGTCAGACCTTTGGCCGACTGAGCCATCCAGGTGCCCCTCTTTCCACACTTTTAATTCTTATTTGCTTCTGGCTTGTAATAATTGTAATTAAATTGAATTAAGTATTTTGGAAATAATTTTAGGGACTAAACTACTTTAAATATCCTGTGTTCTCTTTTACTTTGAAAGGCAAACATGCTTGGGTCTAGAGATTGCCTAGGTGAAGGTTACTAGATGTAGAAGAATATTAGCTAGCACTTATAACATCTCTAGTCTACAGCCACAGGGATGGACTGTGCACACTTTTCAAATCAAGAAAAATTGTATCTACTATGTTACACTATTTTATGATTATTTAACACATTTCTTATAGCTGCTACAAGGCTTCTGTTACCCAGTCTTCCATTAAGCCCTCAGCTCTTCTTTTGTTATTAATATTTTCATTTTCCATAAGCATAGAATGCCTGAAGGAATTTTTTTTCTGGAAACAAAGTCTGCATAGTGCTTTAGTACAGCACAATTTATTTAGTAATTCATCTTTGCTATTTATTTTTTATTAAACAAATCAAGCCGGATATTCATTTTAAGCCCCTGCTTCAAAACTAGTGGTTGTTCTCTGGAGTCAATGTCAGGTCAAAGAGAGGTCAATAAGATATATCTCATCTAGGCATTGTCCTGTGCACCATCTGCTCATGTTAAATCACAGTGATAAGTAGGATGTGTACTTGTGCACCACTAATTCTAATTCCAGAATTTCATGTCATCTCATGGTCATTACAATTGCCCAATTACAGTTGATCAAATTGAATTATCTTTAATCAGTAGGTCTGTCTCATAGTACAGTGGGCTAGTTGGACATATTTATCTATTTAAGTGGTCTGTCATCAGACTGAGAAAGCCAAATGTCATGTTGGAAAATAAGAAAAAAAACTGGGGACAATAGGGGAAGACAAGAGGCTAGATACATTTTACATGTATTAAAGTGAAAGAATGATTTTGATATAGTCTTGGAATAAGTTTAATGAAAGTTTTCTATGGTCTTTGAGATCTTTGAAGGAAGTAACGGTTATGCAATGCATGATGTTTATTTCTCTATAAAGAGATGGCATACTGAGGTTATTAAAACAAAAATTCTAGGGGTGCCTAGGTGGCTCATTTGGTTAAGCATCTAACTCTTGGTTTAGGCTCAGGTCATGATCCCAGGGTCCTGGGATCAAGCCCCACTTTGGGCTCCATGCTGAATGTGGATCCTGTTTAAGATTCTTTTTCTCTCTTTCTCTCTCCCTCATGACCCCTCCCCTGCTCACACACATGCTATCTCTGTCTAAAATAAAATTTTAAAAAATCTGTTGTCCTTATAATGAGAAGAAATAGCTCAATCCAAACAGCCCATTCATAACACTGTTAGGTCCTATGAAAATTTATAATATCTTTGTGTAGTGCCCAACCAGAAAACTTTCTGTCTTGCTGCAAACTGCACACACTATTACAAAATTTTAATGGATTCACACTGACTCCTGTGCAGATTGATTCTTATACTTGAGAGGCAAATGGGTAAGAACAGGGCATGTATTCCCTAAAGATGGCAATGGGCCTTTGAGCAAGGATATCTGCCTGAAAAACTAGAGAAGCATCTATGGTTAGATATGATTGGAGAGAGCCAAACTTATCACTTTTTGACATTTTCATTTAGGGGTGATAGTATTGCCATATCACATCAAGTTCTACTGTATAGCTATGCATCATGGTGACACCAGACAAATACAAAGTTCTCTAGGGCTTTATTTGACCTAGAACTTCTTTCACGCTCATTCCAAACAACCCAGCATAAAAAATTAAGGAGACAGAGAGAGAGAGAGAGAGAGAGAGAGAGAGAGAGAGAAGAGACAGAGACAGAGGGAGACAGAAGAGAGAGAGAGGGAGAGAGAAGAGAGAGAAAGAGAGGAGAGAAGGGATGGGAAGAGAGGTGGATGATACTATTCCCTTTTCCCTACAGAGCATCACATGATGATCTATTTGCCTCCATTTTACTGTTCTTAGATATTTATCTTAACTCCTGGATTCTCTTTCAGGAAGAGTGACCATTAATACCATTATTATTTCCACCCAAGAATTCAAGTTTTTATTTTGTTTTGTTTTGTTGTTGCTTTTGTTTTTGTTTGATAAATTTCCTTAACACCTCAAAACCGGCATTACAGCTTATCTTAAAGGAATAATTTGTTTCTGGAGCATTGCTGAACTAAATATTATTTTCAAAACATGTTAGCTCCAACATGTCTCTTTCCTTCTATATATACATTCACCTAACCATTCATTCATCCATCCAAAAAATATGTATTTATTAGAAGTGGGCAGGCAGCGTGCTAGGTACCTGGGATAAAAAGGAAAATGGTCAGTAGCAAACCAGAGCCTGCCCTTTGAACTTACACATATGGTTAATTGTTACTTAGCAAAGGTGTTTTGAATGCCTACATTCTCAGGCAAGTTACTTATAGCAGCCCCTTGTGCAGAATTTGGAAAAGGATTCTTTCTGGGGAGATACTCCTACCTTTCAGAGTTTTTATGTATAACAATTCTTTGTCCAGGAAGTTCTGGTGTTGAAATGTAGAATATGTTATAATCCTAGCCCTTGAAATTAGAACCTGGCCAACCCAGTTGGAAATGAGGTCTGCACTGCCCTAGCAGTGAGAAGGTGGATTTGTTGGTCTACAGATAAGAAAATATATTCTTGGGATTATAGCATTTTTGTTTGGTGCTGCATAGATGGCAGCTTGTATCCCAGTCTAACCAAAATTGTTCCCTCAGGGATGTGTGATAAGGATAGACATTTTGGCAACAAATATGGAAAGTTTCAAACATCATAAAAATTCTAACTGCTGTAGTAATTAGCCTTTCTCTTTTCGAAGCCGTACTATGTATGGCTTCTGCAATCATACTAAAATTTTAAAACAATCATGTCCTCTCTGGAAGGCAATTGCTTTAAATTGGATAGATTTCACTCATTTTCCAGTGAAAGAATTTGAAAATTCTGTCTGTGGAAACCAAAATATTGGATGGCAGAGTTGGATGTGCCTTTCACTTTAAAATGCAGACTCTCTCTGTGGTGAATGTATTTGTTGTGGTAAAGTATTTGAAAGGAAATCCTCAGAATAATTTGGGGGAAGGAAAAACACTGTTAAAATAAGCCAACCCATCAGTTTTGAACTTTGAAAATTGCTTTATTTTGAACCAGAAAGAATTAATAATCATTCATAGCATAAAAATGTATGTTTGGAATATAATATATAATCATGATCTAAAACAAATTAAACCTCCAAATTTTAAGGGGCTCTAGTATAAGGCTGTGATCTCAGTGATTCTTCTGAATGAATTAATGTTGTTTAGAGTTCATATCGATGCTCTTATTTAGTTACCTCATGATTTGCTCTGTTCCTTGGCAAATATCTGTCTAGATAAGTGATTCCTGCAAATGTTGGAAATTTCTTTACATGTTAACTTTCCCATCATTTTAAATTGTCCAAGCTGTATTATTTCAGTCTTTATGCATCCTTTCTGGATTGAAGGGTCCTGCTAGTCTGATAAGAAGCTCTCTTTCCTGAGGTCTATATTTTGTGTAGTACTCATCTGAGGAGAGGAAGAAGCCAGGATGCCAAATTGCAAAGAGTATTCTTTACTGTGGGGCTCCATCCAAAAAGGGTTTGTAACACAGTGTACAGTCTTGTAGCCCAGCTGTGTGGAGCATTGATTGCTTCTGCCTAGAGCAGGGATACTGTCAAGTTGCTCTGTGAGTTGAGTCATCTATTGACAAAGAGCTACCAGCCCGCAGATAATGCTGTGCGGAGCTGCTCTCGCTGCTCCCACGATGCACTGCTTATAGCAGCTGTCAAAGATACTGAGGGATCCACGGGAGGAAAAAAAAAAAAAAGACTTTTACAACCGCCTGGAAGAAAGGGGTGTGAGGGAGGAGACATTCCTGTGCAGAGCTGACCAAAGGAAAGAGTAGGCATCAGGGCAGTATGAATGCATACCTCACCAAGCAACACGGCTGCAGTCGGGGGTCCGATGGGATGGATGCCGGCAGGAGCGCGCCCACACTGATCAGGGATGCCCACTGCGCTTGTGGCTGGCAGAAGAGCCCTCAGGGACTTGGGTACAATTCTCAGACCATGCCCTCTTCAGGATCGGGGGGCCCAGCTTCAAACAGGACCAAGCTGGTCACTCTGTGGGACAGTGTGCGGAAAAGCCCCCACAAGACGAGCTCCAAAGGCAAAGGGACTTGTGGGGAGCGTTGCGCCTGCCCACATGGTTGGTTCAGCCCAACACAGGTGAGCCTTTTCCTTCTGACTTCCCCTTGACTATCGGAAGAAACTGAGAACAAGTTGTCTAAGGGTAGCATGGTTTGGAAACTTTGCTGAGTCCTCCTTGCTGACTGGGAGCGCCTGTTTGGAAAACGGTGGGCCTGGAAAACCTGTCATTTTCACAGGTGTTTCTGGGCTTACCTCTGGGTGGCCTGTGAAAGTTCGAAGATGCTGTGCTCAGTTTCTTTAAGTGACTTTTTCCCAATTCAACGTCTCTAGTCCTCAGATGATTGTACTGTGATGCATCATTGGCTTTTAGCAGCAGTTTAACTTCTAATCATTGTTAACTTTTCTGTTCTGCCTAGTCTCATTGTGTTTTTTTAAGGGAGAGAAAAAAAATGAACTTTAATCAGATACTTTCCACCTCTTTAATGATAAAAGAGCATTTATTTCTTCAGCTATGGAAAATGGTGATTTGAATTATGTTCTTATAATTTTACTCTTATAATACTGTATACCTTTTCAGTAATGGAGAAGAAAACTTGTTTATATGAAATAATTCATTTTACACACAAAGGGAATAATTGGTAGCAGACTACAGGGTGATTACACTCAGAACACAATAATGAAACATTTTATTTATTCATAGAGTAGCAATAAAGTTATTTATATTAAAAACTATAACTCTCTTTCTTCTGTAATGTAGTTCTGAAGCAGATGTGCAGATTCCCTTAATTTAATTCCTAGCATATTCTTGCCCCAAACTACTGGCATTTTATCAGAAATGGAATTGGTTCATTTTCTTCCTTTCCCCAGAAGAGGAAAGACAACTTCCTGTAAATGCTGTAAAATTTAAATAAAGTGCACCTGTAATCACTGTCATAAATATAGAACAATGATAGTTCTTAAATATCCATTGAGAAGCAGAAACACTGTTTTTAGGGGGAAGAAAAGTCTTTTCTTGATTTTGATGTGATTTTAGCATAATTGAGAAGTGGCTATTGATCATGAGTGACATGGTATGATCTGAGAGGTGTAGAGAACATTCTATTTTAATATTAGCTTTTTAAAAGTACTTCCAAGAATATCATATATCACTAGACCTTAATGATACAGTCACATATATGAGACTTTTGATGCATGAATTTCATGCCTCTCAGCATCTTGATTTAAATGAAGAATATATTCCCATTTTAGCATTTAATTGGTTCAGCTTGAAATGGAGCCTGACATTTGGAGACTCGGTAATTTTTTAAAGTTAACATCAATTCTAAACTGGAAAAAACAGTCTTGACAATTTTGAAGTCTCTATTTTTTTTTAACAAATACATATGTTTAAATGTCTTTAAGTTATATCTCTTATGTTGATTATGTTAAATTCTCAAGGCTCACATGGGCAAAGAAGACAAACACACATCTAGCTTATGGTTTTTGCACAGAGTAGAATAAGCTGACTTACATTAAAATAGAATAAGCAACTTGTTTTATTGTCACAATTCTTTTTTATCCAAGATGTAATAAGATTTTCATTTTATAAACGATAATTTCTCAGCCCCAGATCTCTAACAGTACATTATAATAACCATGCTCCAAAAATCTTGGTACATTTTATATCAATCAAGGGAAACTTTTCCCTTCTTTGGTTTTTAACAAAGTCAGCCTCCTACTTGCCTTAAATTTATAGCCATTTAATGCTTTAAAGGATTGAAATAGACTCTGTGAACTGATAATTAAGGATCCAGTGACATATGAGAAGGCAATAAATTGAAATAGCCACCATCTCCCATTCTTTTTTATACTCATTTCTATAGATTTTCTCTTATTCACATGTACTTTATTGTTGGCTGGGAAGAATAATCCCCCAAATATTGGAGTTACAATACCTTATCATTTAGGGTCTTTAGTGTTGTGACTCTCTTCTATCACCTGACCCTTCCTTCCTTTTACCACCTCAGTCCTGTGAAAGTGCTATGCATAGATTTTAACATATGTTTGAAACTATCTCTATAATACCTAAATACTTACAGATATTAACATATTTCATGTATTTATATGTATATATACATAAAAATTAAAGTTCTGTATTATTATTTTCTTACCCAGAAAGTACTAGCTTGTTCTTACAAAGGATGTTTTATTCTCTCCATGTAAAGTATATTTCCTTTACTTCCTCTAGTTGTTCTAAAATGCTGATTTATGTATGTGTGTACATGTATACATGTGTATATGTTTATGGGTGTTCGTGTATATGTGTGTGTATTCATTTACATATACATCTATGGAATATTTAAAATAGATATGTGTAAGTACTACCCACCCTTATATACTATGACAAAAATAAGAGTGTATGTGTGTCTATGTGTATGCATATGTGTCCATTAACAGCTAAGTCTGTTTTGAGAATTTTATGATACTGTTCTTACCCCTCAAATTAATTAGAGATATCCTATGAAATATTGTAAAACAAACGATGGAGCTTAATGATACTAAACACTAGACTACTTGATAAAGTAGAAAGGAGGAGAATGCATGCTTTAGAATAGCCTAGGGATGCACACGTGGTACAGAACGTGCCTGAGGGCTGTTAAGTGTCTGGAAGCCAGGATCCTGCTCTCAGAGATATTTGCTGTATTACGTGGAAATCAGCAGTGTGATTTCCGGCTGCTATAATAGAGGCCCATGGTAATGACTTGAGTTCCTCCCAAGGCTTTTTGCCAAACTCCTGTTATTTGGGGTGCTGTGTGCTAACAGGACACTGTCATTATGTTGTTCCTCAGCAAGACTAAAAAACAGCTTCTGTCTTTTCTCAAGTAAGTTTTCATTCCATTTGGATCTGTAGAATTAATATGACCGTAATAATAGGTAAGAAAATGGAAAATTATAGTGTCCAGAAGTGAGTTCTAGAATGTACATCTAGGATAATAGTGTTGGTCTTGGGTGGGGAGTAGGGAGAAACTGTCCATCATTGCTTATGTGGCATTTCTCCCCAATGTAGACTGATGTGGGAAGGCAGCATAGAACAGTGGAGACTCAAAGGCCGGAGTTCTATGCAAATATTTGTACTTCATTTATTCATTCACTCATTTGTTTATTCAGTTATTGTTTCCTGAGTGCTTACCTTGTGCTGCTCTGTCAGACCTGTGGATATAATAGTAAACAAAGGAAATGCTACCCCTACCATTGTGAAGCTTATGGCCTGCAGCAGTGTATAATATGTAGTAAATATATTATATACACAGAATTCTATAATCATAAATCACAAATTGGGAGTGAAACAAGTTCCATGGAGTTCTGAAAATTCCATAGTGGACATATATTCATGAACCAGAGGAACCACAGAGGAGTAAGAAAGCAAGATACTTTTAAGTATTTATTTATTTATTTATTTATTTATTTATTTATTTACATTTTTATGAAATGATACTGTAGTTCTTTAAGCCTAGATTTTCTGTTTTGTAAAATGAGCATAAAAATAAAACCTAACTCAGGATTTGTAGTGAGGAATGATTAACATAATAAATGTAAGGCATTTGGCACAGTGCTTACATGTCATATGGGTTCAATAAATATTTGTGGAATGAATGAATAAGCCTACAATAAAAGTTGGCTATTATTAACTTACTCCTTAATTCATTTTTTCTTTCTGATTGGCTGGGAAGAGAAAATAAGTGAATCAGTGAAGACTTCAAGAGGTAGTGATCCTTGAACTGAATTGAATTGAAACTTGAAGTAATGTGCAGGTGTTTATCAAGTGAGCAAAAAGAGAGAAGCTTCTGGGGTACAAATAACAAAAAGAGAAATACCTGTAACACTCTGGTTGGTGTGTAGAACTGCTCATAGATGCTCATAGTTTTGTTTGCCCAGAATATTGGGCATTAGAGAGTAGGTTCATCAAGAGCTGAGGCTAGAGACATGAACAGGATTTGGACACACAGAGAGTCTGGTGGGCTTTGCTATGGATTTGACTGAGCTGGCAGCATGGAGTCAGTAACTGCAGGATCCCAGTGTCACTGGTACTGCTATTCTCCATGTGTTACCTTTATGGTCAGCAAAACTTTCTGGACCTCAGTATCTCTGTTTCTAGGAAAACTGATTTCCCCTAAATCAACTCCTGTATCTCTTCCAATACTAATATCCTATGTCTCTGTCAACTGACACCCATTAATTAATGGGAAGCACTTTGGAAAAGATTTATGCTTTCAAGCCAGACAATCCTAAGTTCAAATTTCCTACCTCTGTGTGACCTCACTTTCTTAACCTCTTTAAGATTCATTTGTCGGGGCGCCTGGGTGGCTTAGTCGGTTAAGCGTCCGACTTTCGCTTAGGTCATGATCTCGCGGTTCGTGGGTTCGAGCCCCGCGTCGGGCTCTGTGCTGACTGCCAGCTCAGAGCCTGGAGCCTGTTTCAGAGTCTGTCACTCCCTCTCTCTCTGACCCTACCCTGCTCACGCTGTCTCTCTCTCTCTCTCTCCTAGAAATAAATAAAATTTAAAAGTATATATATAAGATTCATTTGTCTCCTTCTGTAAAACTTAGGATGATAAAATTATATTATGGGAAAATGTACTAAGGATTGAAAATACTGTACTCCATATAAAAGAGCCCACCATGGTGCTTAGAACATAGGAATTATTCAGTAAGTGATATTTATTATTACTAATGATACCCAAATTATGCTTTTTGAACCTGAATTGGACCTTATTGTCCATCAAATTTGTTATCATTATTGTGATCCTTTATTAGAATTTCTACTTTGTACACTAAATTTTTTGATGTCTTATAATGATGAAGGTTAGGTTAGGCATCTGTCCAGAAACATTTGGCACAGTACCACATGATGATGGAATCACATTTTGCCCTTCAGCATTCTCCGAGATTAACAAGATGCAACTACCAAAATATATATATATATAAATATATATATGACATACATATGTGTGCGTTTATGTATGCATGTATAGATATATAATTGTATATGTTTTATACATGTATATACTTGTGTATTATATATAATTATATATATAATGT